TCCCTCATCTGTTGCGACCTCACCCATCAACCTTACTTCAAACTCTATGGTTCTAGAGAAGGTCTGGGCTATAGCATGTGGAATCATTATTGGGCGGGCTAAAAACAGTCCACAGAGCTGTTGTGAAATGCCATATTTACCTATTCTGCAAGTTTACAATAATGCCTCTATTTGGTCAATTTAAAAATAGCTACTATTTACTAAAAGCATGGTTTAAAATCTCCAGGTGTAGCTAATAACAAACTTACTATCTAATAATGATGATAACTGTCATTATTGTTATTTATTTTTTCACTGAAGAACCAAGCAGATGAAAAATAATACCAGTTAACACTGGATATTGCAGGTTAATTGATATGTTCAATAAGCTTGGTGATAATTGAATATAACCACTTTTAATATTCATATTTATTGAATACTTTCAAGCTTATAATATAATTCTCAATAGCAATTTTTGATACTCTATGAATATTATTTGCATAAATATGCATAATCATACTATATTTTTCATAGAGAAAAAATAACTTTTAAATTGAAGAGTTTATTCATGTAAGCCAGGAACTTATTTTAGTGAAATTTACTTTGTCTCTGCTCATTCTATTTAGAATTAAATCTGTTATATTAAAACAAAATAATACAAGATCTTAAATTGTTAAGCATTGCCTGATAATGTTATCCCCTTGTTCTTTGCAGATGTTTTAAGGTTCTTAATACTGTTACAGCTGAATCCCCTTTTAAATTTTAAAAAGAAACCTGTTGGTCTTTGTTCATAGAGCTAGGGAACATAAATGCAGATCAATAAGCATTTTAAATGCAGTAAAGTGTGACAAATAGGACAATCTCAAGGAAGAATCATTGAAGATCAAGTAAGTGTAAGGAAAAAACTGTGAAAACTAAGAATTTCAACAAAAGTGCAATTAACATTGTCCTATTAATTTTACATTACATAGTACTCAATATATGCCAGGCACTGTTATAATTTTTTAACACATACTCTGAATCCCATGCTCTTTTTAATAACTTTATTTAGTTTGCTTAGGAAAGTGCTTGAAGATTAAGTCACCGACCCTACATAAAATATAGATTATTATTCTACTGGAATGATCATTTCAAAATACAAATCTATTCTTATCAACCCCACTAAATGCCCATTCCCCAGGCCTAAACTCTTGGGAGCTTAAAACTATTCATTGAGTTGCCATTGCTTTAGGATTAAGATTCCGCCTCTTTAGTTAGGTTGCAAATTCTGCAAGTTCTCACCCTATCTACTACTTCTACTTCACCTTGAATTCAACCTCAGCAGCCTCCTCTCATTATGAATAGCCATGCAGACCTGCACTGTTCAGTGGCACTTATCAGGTACCACACCACTAGGGCCACTCTGAACATGCTGTCCCCTCCACATGGAACATTCTTCATCCCTCTTCATCAACTTAAATCCTTCTCATCCTTCATCTTTTGGCTCAAATGCCCCTTGCTTGGAGAAGTGTTCCCTGACTTTCTTAAATTAGGACCCTATACCATCCTTCCATAACCTTTACCTCGGTTGCTCTTTTATATTTATTCGTGCAGAACTTTGCTGAGTATTTGTCTCTCTCACTAGACTATAAACTCCACAGAGAAGTGATTGTATCCCTTTTGTTCACCATTGTATCTTCTAGTTTCTGACACAGTGCCTAACACCTTAATAATGTGAACGAATAAACAAATTAATTCAATCTCACCAAAGTCAAGAAGGAATTACAGAGTTGTTTTAAATATACAATGCCTTTTCTTGTGATATTTATTTTTAGGTTTGAGAAAATATTTATAGAGGTATTCCTTTAAAAAAATGAAACAGTATTTTGAGGTATATCATGTTACATTCATCTTAGCAAATGTAGGATTATTGTTAAAGGTCTGATTTTGGAGGAAACAGCAATTATCAATTTGATCTACACTGATAATTCTACTTAGGATGTTCTCCTATATGCTACAAGTTGAACTGTGTGCTTCCTTAAACATTTGTCTATTTCAAGCAGAAAACTATTTTTAAGAGGATGATTATGGTTAAATGTCAAAAGAAATACAGGTTAAATAATATTCCTTCCCTTTTTAAATTTTTGTTAGCCAAACATTTTAGCAGGGAGCTATCAGTAATTGGCTTCTAGTTCAGTGACAAAAGAGACAGAATATTTTGCCTTTGACCCATGCATGCTTTGGGAGAAAGGGGGAAATGGACATAAAGTCACACATTTCCTAGAATTTGACATATTTGGTAATGTGCACAAAAGCAATGGGATCTGGAGACTGGTGGTGAAATATGGTGATTCTCTTAACATTGAGTTTAATAAGATGCTTTCTTGGGCTGAGAGCTGAGGGTATAAAACTTCATACCTGATTCTGCCAAAGTGATTCTACTCACTTGACTCAACTTGTAATATGGTTGAACCTACAGGTTTCAAAAAAATCCATTCACAGCATATTGTCACAGATAAAACTGGTTTCTTAATAGAGAAATCTGAAAGTCGAAATTAATGGGATATTATTTTAGTCCATTACTTCTTTTTTTCTTAGAGCTGTGATTTATAACATTTTTTACAAATTAAGAACCTCTTTGAAAGCTGTGACTGTGTCTTCAGAAAATTCACAAATGCATATTCTCATACAACTTGGCACACAATTTCAGGGGTTTTATATCTACTAGAATTCTTCCAGAGATCCTAGACTGAGAACATCTATTTAAGATAAATCCATCTAATTCTTAATGTGTCTTAAAAAGCAATGATTTATACTGCTTGTCATGTCTCTCATTATGATTTGTTTTATATCTAGACTTCAATTATCAAAGGGGAGGAATAAAGGAAATGTTCAAGAGATTCATCATAGTCAAAAGAAACCTCTTTTTACCCCTTTTATCTTCAGGCTATTATTTCTAGACCAGAGCTCTATTGTTCATGTACTGTTCATTGGCTACCAACCAGACAGAGGATGCTAGTCTAGGCCATTGCACAATTTCATTTTCCTCTGGGCTGTTATGTAATTAAAATAATTTCAGCCCCCTCTCTTGGACATTTATTTTTCTACAGGCAATTGTAAAATATGTAGAAGCTGAAAAGCAAATAAAGGAACAAAAATATAACTTCTTTACTTTTTATTGGGAAAAAATTACTCATTATAGACTAGTTACTTATTTAATTTCGAAATTCTAATGTGGTTTCTTTTGTATTCTGTTGTGGAGTAAAATTGCCCATTGATTTAAAATGGTCATTTTCCAAGGGTGCTCCAAAGTGGCTGGATCTTAAACACGTCTAAAACAACCACTCTTTCACAAATGTAAATGTATAATGCTACTGAATTAGTAATTTATTTTCCTCTGGAATTCTTATATCTGAGGATATCTACAAATTCATTGGCAGCTATTTACATTCTCTGTTCATATGTAGTAACTTTTACCAACATTCTGCCCAACTGAGGAACAATGTTGTCAAATAGGTTCAGTTTTACAGTATTAAAATAACCCTGTAAGCCTCAATCCAAAATCATGGGTTAACTATACACCACACACTCCCACTGTACACAGATATAAACACCGGTTACACTTGAAACCAATCTTCTCTGATTCTGCTGATGCTTTAGCTGAAAGCTTTGTAGGGTTCAGCTACCCACAGCTTTGCCTTGTGAGTCATACTGTTGTTTATGGATTCCTCATGATTTGAAAATAAGGATAATTTTTGATATGTAAAATTTTAATTTTCCTTTGTGCTTTCTTGTATATTATTTGCTGGCATGAAAAATATGCTAAACAAAGACTTTTGTTTGGAATGAGAAGAACCTCAGAAGAAAGGAGTAGGACTGATTTGAGCTCACTGGAAATAACCAGTGAATACATGGGAGTAATAATTCTTCTGCCTTGAGTCTGACCTCTGCTAGAAGAGGCCACCACGTGGCTCTGGAAGGAAGGTTGGTAGAGAAATAGTGTGTGATTTCTGTTTTTGGTGAACACAAATCTGTTAATCCAGCTTCTCCTGGACTGTGTGCTGCTCTTGCACACTGGAATTCAGAAATAGTGCCCTTTGCTATGGGAAAGGCAGCATAATAAACAGTGCCATATTTCTTAAAGATACTCTCTATCTTACCAAATTCTTACTCACAAAAAGCACTTCACCTTGCAACTCTTATGGCATGGGTCTACATTTTTTTAATCACGAGCAGTAAAAATATTTTACCATGTACTTCTGTAATCATTATATAGACATATAAACAGATACAAAATATATATTCATAAATCATATAAATTTACCATATACGTCAGCATATGTTACAGAACATGCACAAAAACAGAAATTAAGGAAGGTGAAATAAAAAGTGAGGCAAACATCATTTGTAAATAAATTTTCTTATGCGTTAATGGGACAGAAATTGTACTGTGATTTAAAAAATAGTGTTATTTTTAACGACTTTATTGAGATATAACTCACATACCGTATGGTTGACTCATTTTAGTGTGCGGTAGTTTTTAGTGTATTCACACAGTTGCACAACAATCAACACGGTCAATTTTAGAACATTTTCATCATATCCAAAAGAAATTCTGTGCCCATTAGCAGTAATTCTCCACTGCCCCTGCTTCAACTCTAGGAACCCATTAATTGACTTTCTGTCTCCATAAATTTGTCTATTTATGGACATTTTATGTAAATAGAATTGTACAATGTAAAGTCTTTTGTGACTGTCTTCTTTCACATAGCATAATATTTTCTAGGGTTCATCCATGATGTAGCATGCATCAGTGCTTCATAACTTTTGCACGCAATATACAATACGGTATTAACTATAGTCACCATGCTGTACAGTATATCCCCAGGAGTTATTTATAACTGGAAATTTGTACCTTTTGAGCAGCTTTACCCATTTTGCTCCCCACCCTCCTAACCACCAAACTGTTCTCTGTGGCACTGCGCTGGCCTTGTGGGGCTTGCTGAGGTTCCGTGGAGAATTACTGTGGGCTGCGGCTGCAGTCCCCACCCCAGCCGGGGGAGGGCGGGGGCACCTCTGCAGTTCCTACAGGGCCTCGGTGTCCTGGCCCAGCACTCTTGCAACCTGTGGGAGTGGATCTGGCTCAGCATAGCCAGCAGGTACCTCCTCACCACTGCGCAGTCACTAGGCAGAGACCGGAAATCCTTCCTCTACCATTCATGCCGGGCGCGCGGCACCTGGACTCCGACAGGGATGCAACAGGTTACTATTTATCAGAGACCCCCACCTGTTTTGGGCTAGTGCTGATCCCTCTGAGTCTCCGGAAGCTGGTCAACTCAGACCTTGCAGAGGAAGGAGGGTCGGAGGAAGCAGAATTTTCTAATATCGTCTTAGAAAATTGGGACAAAATTCTAGAATGGGACAGAAAGTACTGGAGTGAAGAGCAGGCCGAGTTCCTCTGTGCGATTTCCAAGGAGCTGCTCCGCAGGCCTGACGGTACGACCAGTGAGCCCAGCGAGAAAGCCGTGATTTTGCAAGAACAGGGGGTTCAAGGGTGTGAGACGCAGTGCCGGCAGCTGAAGAAACATTTTACCTTTTCCCACGATGCAACGAACCGCCATATTGAGGAAGTTTGGCCTTGAGAAGAAACCTGCTTTTCCCAGTTTCTCCAGAGAGCTGGGTATGAATCCTTTTCTGCCTCTGAGGTGCATGGTGGGAGGAGAGGGGACCAACTGTGTGAGGCCGCGTCCCCACCGCGGGGGAGGCAGCTGGCCTTGGGCATCCCCGTGGGGGTCTGAGGCAGACATTAAGATAACTAATGAACAGCGTTCACGGTGCTATGTAGACAGTCTGTAATGAAGCCCCGGCCTCGCCGTCGGATGTGGCTGCAGCACCGTGGCCCCGGGGTCTGCATGCCTGCAGGTCATCCGCGGACGCACCTGTCCTCATCCGCGGGTCAGGAAGTCGTCGCCTCCCAGGTGTGAACGTTTGCCCCCTTCTTTCGGCCTCCGCACGCTCACTGCATCCTGGGCATCTGCTCCAAAGCCAGGCAGGGAACAGGCTTCTTAGTTTCTTAGATTCTAGTTGAGAGGTCTTTATGTCTTTTCTTTCCCAGTGTGGATAGACTACCCAATGTTTTTACTTTTTAGAGATACCCAAAAGTGTTGCTACATTTTAGATTGATCTATTAAATTACGTGAAGTCGAAGTTTTGCCTCTCAGCCCACCCACGGGCTTGTGGCGGAGCTGCTGTGGTCAGTGCCTTTGCTTTGCCTCACTTGGGTTCGAGGTCAGGGCAGAAGGCCTGCCCACCTGGCTTCTAGAGCCGAAACATCGGGTCATATTGAAGACGGAGTGTTCACAGCACATTGTAAACGACTCCTCTTTCTCACAGGCTCTCTCATGTTCTTTGTATAGCTGTGCAGTTCTCTAATATTTCTGGGAGGTTCGAGACTTCACACAACCAGCTTGGGCTCTGCGCACCTGACAGGACAATGGAGCAACTAGAATGCTTTTAGAAACTGGGGTCCGCATGCTTTGAGGACAGCAGACCTGTCTGAGCTGGTCTTGGGGACTGCCAGGGCCTGGGGGACCTGGCTGGGACTTGCAACTCTTTCCTTCTTGACCTCTGGCTTCCGGGGTGCTGTGCACACTGACCATGGGGGCTGCAAACAGGTTAGTCAGAGGTTCTAACATATGTAGTTCCATTTGCTTCTGGAAGCTTCTGCCTGTGCCCTCTTTTCCTTTGCTAGTAACCTGATTAACCAAGTCTCCAGCACCTAAGATTTATCTCCTTCATTTTGTCGAGATGGTGGTATGTTATTAAATATTTGGCTTTAAGAGTTTACAACAGCCTTTCTATAGGGCATGGTTAGTTCCAAGGGACCCCTGGGAAGAGGACATCCATTGTTGGCCTTGGGATGTGCCCTGTGGGCATCTGCTGGCCTATTAGCGTTTTTGATTTGTGCATTTGTGACCTTGGCATAATAGATAGGTGTGTCGGTTTTTTTTTTTAATTTAGAGATATTAAGACTTAATTCATTAAAATTTGTTCTAAGGCAATATTTTGACTTTTACACTTTTTTTCGATATCTATATTTTTGTCAGTTTACAATTTAATGCTTGTTTCCCCAGAGAATAGCAAATAAAATTGTGTATTTATGAATGAGCAAAGTAAAACAAAAACTTTTTAAAATCTGGGTAATATCCTATTATGTAGATATATCACATTTTATTTATCCTTCAGTTGATGGACATTTGGGTTGTTTCTACTTTGGGCTATTATGAATAATGTTGCTATGAAAATTCACATATAAGTTTTTGTGGGACATGTTTTTTATTTATTTTTTACTTATATACATATTATTAAAATGGCCGGGCATATAGTACCTCTATATTGAACTTTTTGAGGAGCTACTTAACTGTTTTCCAATGTGGCTGCATCATTTTACCTTCTCATCTACAAAGTTCCAGTTCCTCCACATCCTCTTCAACACTTGGTGTTATCTCTTTTTGATTTTATAATCAAAAAGTTACAGATTGTGGTTTTGACTTGCAAAGTAGTGATATTTAATGATATTGAGTATCTTTTCATGTGATTATTGGTCATTAGTATATCCATTTTAGAGAAGTGTTTATTTAGAAATGTCGCTTATTTTTAAATCAGGTTGTCTTTTGATTACTGAGGAATTCTTTATATATTCAGGGTACTGATAAGTCTCTTAGCAGATATATGGTTTGCAAATATTTTCTCTGATTTGTGAGTTATCTTTATTTACTTGACGGTGTCCTTTGAAACACAAAAGTTTTAAACTCTGATTATATCTAATTTATCTGAGATTTTTTGGTCACTTTTTCTTTGTCTTGTATCAAAGTATATTTGCTCCTATATTTCTTCTAAGAATTTTATAGTTTTAGTTTTTACATTTAGTTCTATAATCCATTTGGTGTTAAATTTTGTGTATGGTGTGAGGAGGGGGTTCATTTTCATTCATTTGCATGTGGATATGTAGTTGTTCTAGCTCCATTTGTTGAAAAACTATTCTTTCTCCCATTGAATTGTCTTGGTACTCTTGGTGAAAGTCAGTTGACCATAGTGTAAGGGTTTATTTCTGGATTCTCAATTCATTTCAATTTATATCTATGTCTGTACTTATGCCAGGCCCACTCTGTTTTGATTACTGTAGCTGTCTATTAAGGGTAGAAACTGGACTCCCCTTCCTACCTTAAGATATCTCACAGTTGGTGCTCTCAGACCCTTAATGCAGGGACTAGGTGTAAATGCTAATGTCGCTAGTGTCTATCTATATATCAAACATAAATATAGTTTATTTGCTTTCTTACATATTTTTTTAAAAAATTAATATGAGTAGAACTCTGCCGTCCTCTGCGCCTCACCAGATTGGCGTGTACTCCTCACTTTGGAGACAGTAGTCTCCATATTTTGTTGTTTTCTGCACTATAACAGTTTTTAGCCAAATGTTATCAATGAGTGTCTCCCTCCTTCAGACTCCCAGGAAATAGTGAATCACTTGCACACACCCAAAAACATCTCCAGGGGAGTAGACTTTCTCTGAAATGTCATCTTGATCACCCAGTTCTAACTATGGTTCTTACAGGATAAAATGATTATCCCAGTACAACGGTGAGCAAAAACAAAATACTAGAGATATAGTGCCCTAGAGTTGTTGATGGGTTTACCAGAAAGTTTTCTGACACTGTGTGAAGAAAAATAAGAAATATAAATTACATAGATTTACCAGCTCAGTCATATAATTATTTAATAATTAGATATCCCTTACCCCCCAATCTTAGACTAGAAGCAGTTATATTTCTATGATAAATGCATTGTAAATTCAGTATTTAGAGAGCCCTTGCTCTGTTCCAGGCTCTAGGTTTGGGACTGGGAGTGTAACAGTGTAGTCAGGGTTTCTATTCACAGGTAACTGGCATCTAGTAGTCTCTTTGAGTCTGAATTAATATCCATGCTTATTATAAATATAACACACATAAACATACCACCTTAGCATATTTAACCGCTGAAAATTGATATTATAAGAAAGTATAACATTCCAAAATAGCTTTTAAAACAAAACGAAAATGCATGTTTATTAGGCAATTTGGAAAATACAGGTCAGCCAAAATAAGAAAATAACAATCAATCATATTATCAGCATTTAGCAATAGTTGCTGTTAAATGTCTTTGTTTCTTTAGATATTTTCTTAAAGTTTGCACATTTTAATCTTTTTCTTCTATTCCAAATCATTTTAAGTTTCCAGTTTACACCTGGCTGCACTAATTTCTCAGTCTCTTCAGTATCATTGTTTTCTCATTGAGATGAATTAAATGAAAATATGTTGAAATTCTAAAGACAAAATATACTTAATTGTACATGTTATTTTATTAATTTATCCATCAGTGAAAGTTAGTACAAATTAATGATCTTATGAATATGTGACCTAAAAGTAAATTAGCATACTTAGTTAGTTAAAGAAATACATTTTCATACTTATTTTATTTTCTCAGCAACTTTTACTTTTGCCAGATTTCTTTTTTCTTTCACTTATTTTTTTGTATTTTCCAGTGAATCTTTTTTTTCCTACAAAAATTTAGTGTTTTCAATAAAACCATTTGTATGTTTAATAATATTGGTGTTTTGCATGTGACAATTTATTAAACATTTATTTTAAATGTATTTATATAGAGAGAAAATAATAAAGATTATTAATTAACATCCTTAACATCCAGCTTAAGAAATAAAACGTATACAATTGAAGATTTTATATAGCTATCTCCTATTTGTCGTCTTCTCATGTTATTCTTTATATTTTTATTTCATTAGCATATACATCTAAACAATATATGATATTTACTTGCATATTTTTAAACTTAAATAATTGTCTTCGTGTACATTCTTTTGATTGCTTTTTTTGCTTACCATTTTTACTCTAGGTTTAACATCTATCTTCACTTTTACTAAATATTAGTGGGTTGTTCTTTAAAGTGGATATAACAATTTATTGTCTTATAAGCAGTCTATAAGAGTCTTATAAGAGTTTCTCTTTATATATTCACTAATGCTTGCTATTATGAGTCTACATTTCTGACCACTCTGATGAGTATAAAATGGCATCTTGTGCTGGTTTTAATTTGTATTTTCTTGATTACCGGTGAGGTTGTTTCTATTCATACATTTGTTGACTTACTGAAATATTTCATTGTCTGGGAATTTTCTGTTTGTACATTTTGTGCATTTTTCTGTTCCTATTTAATTCTAGAAGCTGTGTGTATTGTAGACATTAAACATTGCCATTATGTTTGGCAAATATTTACCCACAATTTCTAGCTTATATTTTTCTGGCTTACAATAAGCCAGAAAATAATTATTTGAATTATTTTCTTTTCCAAAATTTAGAATGATATTCTTCACATTTTTTCCTAAAAGTTTTAGAATTGTACATTTTACATTTAAGTTTCTAATCGACTTTCAGTATATTTTTGCAGGTAGTATTAGGCGGGTATCTAAATTCATCGTTCTCCTTATGGATAACCAGTTTTCCCAGCATCATTTATTGACACTCCTTCTTTGCCTGCTAATCTCTAGGTCATCTCTGTTATATATCAAGTTTCCATATACTCATGG